GTGCTTTGAGAGTGGATCACCGGACGATTCTTTTAGTTGCTAGGTATCCTTTCATATTCACTGACCGCTGCACACTTGTGACTTAACGTTTTAACGTTCGGAGTTGAAATGAAAATTTCATGGTTTTCTTCAGCCTTGCCAAGCAAATTCCGGGATGGCTATGCTCTGTAACGTGTAGTTTCTGTTACTGCATGGCTTGTATTCATTCCGTATTACCCGCCGGACTTTGCTCTGATGTTATCATTATATTCGCTGGAAGAAATGGTCTTTACTGTAAAATAAACTTCTGTCGAGTGCTGCGTGCGCTGCCGTAGTTTCGGTAAGTTCTCCGTTAAATTCCAAGTGACAGAGTAAGCTGAGATCATTGCCGTCGCGACGCAGTGGTTCGTATGAACGTATGCAGTTTGGCTACACAACGCACCAAGTTAGTTTACTAAACGTGGGTAAGGGGTGACAAATTGATGCTAGTTGACGGGTCAAATTTTAAAGGGTTCACAGTAACATACAGACGGGCACTTATGACTTCTGTTTGGAAGATATCCGGTTAGAATCTCAGGCCAGACACTAGTTCTCGAGTGCCTTCGGGCAAGTGTCAGAAGAGCACCTTAAATCAAGCTAGGACCGCTTCCTTTCACATCTTTTCCAGTTCATTATTCACAGTCATTCACCGAACAGGCTGGTCTTCATATAATGCCCTAGGCCTGTTCGGGGGAGGTATTTGGTTCGAATATCGACTGGGTCGCTGGTAACCTTGAGTGAGAATGTTCGTGCTTTCCTCAGTCCCCCCAGGAAATCGCCAGGATGGTATCTCAAATAGGCCACGGCCTCTTCCTTACATACCCTTTTTACTTCAGTCTTCTACCGTTCGACGGTATACAGGCTGCGGATAATCATAAAATAATCTACAAAAAATGAGCAATAAGGAGAGAGAGAGAGAGCCGGTCATGGTAGCATGTACTGTCTTCGTTCACTCGGAAGCCGGAATCGTGGGTTCGAATCCCACGCAAATGGATGTTTGGTATGTGTATGTGTCTATTCAGTGTTTGTGTTATTCTTTGTTTAGGTAGAGACTTTGTGACGATCTGGTAACTCGTCCAAGGAGTCCTACCGCCTGTAAAATGATCATGAAACTGAAAAAATCACAGGCCAGGGCCCAGGGCTGTAGAGCCAACGAAAAAAGAAAATATAGAGAGATCGAGTGCGATTACTGACAGCGTTGCTGAATAAAGTACAGAAGAATAACAAATCGTAACAACTGTCGCCATCTTCAGCAAGTTAGATGCACTAATTAGCAACGCCGGGCGTTTGCCGTTATTCTTCTTGCCATACCGATGTGCTGGACGGTTACTGCACAGTATAGTACATGAAGGCTTGCTGATCGGTTTATTTAATGACGCTTTTTAACTGGTCCGTCCTGACGTGGCGCTGTGGTTAGAATTCCGAATTTGTGTTCTGGAGGTTCTGTATTGAATCTGTATCCGGGGAGTGATTATCCTGTGTGAGTTTCCAACAACTTTCATTGCCATCTCTTGGCATTTCCGGAATGTATTGACACAGGCTGTGAACAGTTTCTTCTGCATCTTCGAATTCATCACCCACTCTCATTCTGCCACCCGAAGCTATGTGACTATGTAATTAAGGAAATGTCGTAAGAGAAACCCACAATCAATCACTGAACTGTATCACTTTTATGGATTCGAATGGGAGGACAGTTATGTCTGGTACTGAAAGATGGGAATAGAAGCAACCATTGCCATTTTTACGAAATTATTCTAAAATGTGTGTGAAGGGCTCGGGGGAATAATAATGATATTGTGTGCCAGTACAGCGTTACACTCGTTCCTTCATTGCACTGTGCGTGCAGCCTCTTTCGTGTCTTTCCGTGTTCCTCCAGCGAAAGTAAGGGTGAAAATTATTATTGTCTTCTGAGATGTGACGACATGTAGTCTGGTATGATTATGCTCGCTTCAGCTCGAAGTTAATATCTCGAAGATGGAGGCAGCATGTACATCCGAAACGTCGATAAAGATCTGCCAGACAGTACGGATCCAGATTCTAGAAGACAATCGTCATAGTATCTCAAACCGTAGTGTTACGGCGCTCACTAGACCGAGAGGGTTGGCTCACTGTTGCAAGTTATATAGGACCTCAGCTCTGAGTTGAGGGAAGACGACAGACCTAATTATAAACGGGCCACTGTTATTTAAATGCATCCCCCAACAACATCTGTTCCGGTTGCCAAGCTACTGTACGTCTCAAGGCCATAGCTCATGTCTCACTGAACTTTACTGTCTGCTCTCTATTCTCGTGTTCGGGAGATGCTCCATTCGAATCCTGGCCGGGACACCAGATATCTTGACAGGAATGTCATTGTTTTCTTCCGTCTCTTTAGGTAAATACTGGGATAGTATCGCTATTAGGCTACTCCTGCTTCCTTCTAGATCGTTTCCAATTCTTGACTCATTCTTTCGACGCTGTGTAGTCATCTTACTGATGTGGCTGTAAAATACCAGCTAGAGCCCTAATTAAAATCGACAGTCCCTAACTAGACGGGTTGGTCCGCGCCATAGCTCAAGCGGTTAGTCCGCGGCGGCCCGGGTTCGATCCCGGGTCTGGTCAAGTGGGATTTGTGATGGACAAAGTGGCGCTGGGGAAGGTTTTCTCCGAGTACTTCGGTTTCACCTGCCAATCTTCATTCCACAAATTGCTTCACAATCACCCTCGCCTATTATCTGGGGCGGGTACAATAGGCCAGAAGTGGCCGCAGTACAAGGGACTTAGTCCCACCCCACTAGCAATAAAAAAAAACTAGACGGGTTGTACGTGGCATCTGAACCGAAATCAAACTCGGGACCTCCAGCGCCCGATGCAGGAGTGCACCCCATTAAACCGTGACGTCAGAATCAGTGTTTGATATCGTTATCTATAGAAATGAATGTTGACCCGTAGTGACCTCATAGTGTACTATCACAAAAGGCGTAAGAAAGAGCTTTTCGTCTGTAACCATTAGCAGTGTGAGTGTTCTGTAAATTGTGTTAATATGTTATGGTTAAGAACGGGACAGTTACTTGCACATGTGACCTTCAGTGAACTACAGTTTCTTTCGTTGTGTGTACCCACAGGGGAGTGCACTTCAGTGCACGGCTGTAGAATGTAATTCTGATAGGGTTGGCCGCGCCTAAGCTCAAGCAGATAGTCGCTGGCTTCCCACCGCGGCGGCCCGGGTTTGACCCCGGGTCTGGTCAAGTGGGATTTGTAGTGGACAGAGTGGCGCTGGGGCGGGTTTTCTCCGAGTACTTTGGTTTCCCCTGCCAATCTTCATTCCACCAAATTCTCCATCATCATAATCACCCGGGCCAGGTACAATAGGCCAATCAGTGGCCGCCGTGCCGAGTGGACCAAACTGGACTCCACCCCCCACTAAGCGAATTAAGAAAAAAGTAATTCTGATAAGGTTACGTACACATCTGTTTTAGCCTCTTGCCTTACGTAAAACACATATTTATTGGGTGAGCTTACAAAATTAACTAGCTCGGAAATGTATGCACACCGTAACAATTCTTGGGCCTTCGTTCTCTTTTGTTTAATTGTCTAGAAAAATGCAGGATTTTCGGAAGTATTATATGTGACATAAAATGCCTATTTCAATTCATCAGAAATTTTTGTTCAAAACAGTTTTGCTCCGATAGATACTTAGTATTTGAAGCTGGAGATTCGCACCCCAAACGTTCGTTCTTAGACCGAATATAAATACAAATCCTATTAAAATCCTCAGATTTAAATACATTTAACTGTTTCTTGGAGCATTGTCCTTGCAAAGCGATTTTTTGGTCGGCTAGTCGAGCGTATCCTTACCTCTTATTAGTGCCCGAATATTCGTTATCATGTACACTAGAGATCACTGCTGCAACCTGCCCGAGCCAGAAAGTCCATGTCCCAGTGTAATATCTCATAATATCCCAGTTCATCTCTATGATTATCATTAATCCTGATTAGTTGTTCAAAATACTGCCACTTACACTAAATGGCTTAGGGCTGGAGGCGGGTCCCACATCTGCTAGTTCATGATATGTCATGCCATGGTGGCAAGGGACCCACATAACACAGATCTGAAAACATTTTTCCATTATTTTTTTTTTCATTCTATGCAGTTCTGTGTCTGTAATTCATTCATTCATTCATTTATTTTTCGTTCCATGGATCCACAATACAAGTGAGATATAGGACATGTCCATACAGTGATTATTCTTAAAATTAATAGAGCAAGAGCTAAGTACATAAATAAAAAAGTATAAAATACAAAAATTGAAACAAAACATGTAGGATCAAGTAGATTCCAGTCATATAAGTTAATTTAATAAAACATGCAGTTTAAATTTAAACAATGTCAGTTTGAACATATCACAGAAATTGCTTAAATGACTAGACTAGAATGATAGAATAATGACTAGAATAATACTAATAAAAGACTGGATGATCAACAGGTGATTCTAGTGAATGCATAATCATTAACTTATAATGACTTATATTGGAAATATTCTTCCACAGAATAAAAATGATGAAGATAAAGAAAACGCTTTAAACAAATTTTGAACTTCTTAGGGTTGAGTGACTCTTCTTTTATATAAGAAGGAAGATTATTATAAATTTTTATGCCCATATAATACACTCCCTTTTGATATACCGTAAAATTTGCTATGGGTTGATAGAAATTTGTAATATGTCTTGTATTTATATTATGATTTAGTGAATTTGGAATAAAGAGACTTTTATTATTAACCACAAAGAGCATGAGTGAAAAAATATACTGTGAAGCCAAAGGCAAAATTTCCAATTTCCGAAAGAGACCTCTACATGAAAATAAATGTGGTTCTGTAACTGTTGGTTTTGTAATCCTATCTGGAATAACTTGACTTGTGCTGAATTACTTATATATTTCTGACAGATAAAACGTTTGTTGTATGGTTTAATTCATTGTCCCAAATTTTATTTATTTACAGATTATCAAGATGGGAGCGGTGGACAAGGAAGGTCGCAAGCTGGTGGCCCCAGATGGAGGGTGGGGGTGGATAGCTGTCATTGGTGTTATGATGGTCAATGTAAGTGGTACCATCTGTTATTCCAAACCCACAATAGTTAAATTCAAAATATTGCATACATTTTAAAATAAATTTAAGCCAAGGGTCTGCTGCCAACATCTTAACTGCTAGTTCACACGTCCAGTTGTCAATTGACATGTTTTCAACCCTGCAGAGTGCCTATTAAAAACGGTCTGCCCACCTGAATTATTGAAAAATTGGAACGTAGGTAAATGGATTGTCATGGCATTTATTGGGGGAGTTTTTCTAAAGTGTATCAGCACATTAAAGTTTTGGTTAAAATTTGACAGAGTAACACACTTCACATGAAGACCTGAAGACCTGTATGTGTTCCCGTATATATTTCTATCATTAGTTTTTAAATATTTATCTGAGTGAAAAATGTTTCAACCAAGTGTTGTAGAGAAAAATGAAACAAGCATCGTATTTCAGGTACAGTTCTTTCATACATATCACAGTTTTAGAGATAATTAAAGAAGAATTGTTATATTGCATGTATTTCTGAACTTCCAGTAGTCAAAGATCAGCACAAGATTATTTGTCATCATGAATTTATAGGCCCACTATTGTAACACTCACTGAGAATGCAGTGGGAAATATCATTTCATATATACTTTTTCATACTCTTTAACTTCACTGCTTTCTCCTGTATACCTTTCCCAGTCATACATGTTGTCAAATGATAAGTCCAGGCCGATGTTAAGCACCATCTCTGGTCTGTAACATGCAAACAATCAATCATAAATCATCTTTCTTACATATTACTTCTACACCTCACACACACACACACACACACAGAGATATTTAAATATATATATATATGAAAATACAATAAACACTCAATAATCTTGGAAATTTTAATCCAGATGTCATACAGTGCGTACAACCAAGTGCGCGCCGCGGCTGCAGAACGGATGCAGTCGCGGGGAGTGTTGCAACTCCTCCCCGCGACTGCATCCGTTCTGCGGTGGTATGACTCACGGCAAATTGCAGCCGCGGCGCGCACTTGATTGTACGCACTGTATAATCCAGAACAAAATGTGAAAAATGAAAAATTCTGTTCACAATTGAGTACATACTTTAAAAGACAGGCGTGACTTAGGAGCAAGAAAATGAGAGTAAGAGGACTTTCAGACTGTGTTGAGGTCAGCTGGAGAGACTGAAACCATGCAAGAAAATACCTAAGATTGGCTTGAACTCAATGAAGGAGACCCTGGATTTCATCTTCTGATAGAGGAAGCCATTGCTGCAATGATATTTTTCTATTTATTTTTATTAGTACCATTTATATTACTATTATTTGTTTTCTAAGATTTTTTTTTTTTTGTCTTTTGCCATTATTATTTGCCTCATCAATTTGGATTATCACTTAATTGTAACCTTTGCGACGTCTTCAGAAGCGCCTCTTCTTCAACTGCTCTCCTCACCCTCTTCTGCTGCTTCTTGTTGATGACGCCACCTACTTTTTTTTTTATTTCTTCTTAATTTATTTTCTCAGGGTTAGGATTAAACTTCTCAGGGTTGATATATTAACAAGGTTGAGGTTGTAAGTTTTGAGGTTTTCACGGCGATGACAATGAAGAAAGTCGTCTTCTGGGTTTAGGCACCGTGTATTCTTCGTTTTGGCCTACGTTC